CTCGAACCCACGGGCTCAGGCAATCCACTCACCTCAGCCTCCCAAAGGTGCGGGATTACAGGCTGAGCCATCGAGCCTGGCTAAGACACTATGTTAAGTGAAGAACACCAGACACAAAAAGTCACATAGTATGTGATTCATTTACATGAAATATTCATAATATGTAAATCCATAGAGGCAGAAAGCAGTTTTTTTGTTTGTTTTTTAGTCGGAGTCTTACTCTGTTGCCCAGGCTGGAGTGCAGTGGCATGTTCACGGCCACTGCAGCCTCAACTTGCTGGGCTCAGGTGATCCTTCCACTTCAGCCTTCCAAGTAGCTGGAACTTCAGGAGCACACCACCACACCTGGCTAATTTTTTAAATTTATTGTAGAGATGAGGTCTTGCCAAGTTGCCCAGGCTGGCCTCGAACCCCTAGGCTCCAGCACTCCTCTCACCTCCACCTCCCAAAGTGCTGGGATTACAGGTGTGAGTCACCACACCCAGCCAGAAAGCAGTTTAATGGGGAGTGCCTGCTTACTGGACATGGAGTTTCCTTTTGGAGTGATAAAAATGTGCTAGAACTAGACAGCAGTGATGATTGCAAAACACTGTGAATGTACCAGATGTCACAGAATTGTATAGTTTTAAATGGTTTCAGCAGGCCAGGTGCAGTGGCTCATGCCTGTAATCCCAGCACTTTGGGAGGCGGAGGCGAGAGGACTGCCTGAGTCCAGGGGTTTGAGACCAGCCTGGACAACTTGGCAAGACCTTGTCTCTACAATTAGTCAAAAAATCAGTCAGGTGTGGTGATGCATGCCTGTAGTTCAGCTACTTGGAAGGCTGAGGTGGAAGGATCGCCTGAGTCCAGCAGGTCGAGGATGCAGCAACTGTGAGCATGCCACTGCACTGTACTCCAGCCTGGGTAACAGAGAGAGACCCCAACTCAAAAAAAAATGATTTCAGTAGTAAATAAAATGGTAAATCTTATGTGTATTTTATAATCAATAACCCAAAAGGGAGTATCGTACCCACCCACCCATGGGTATTGTGAGGCACGATGGGAAATGGCCATGCAAGGTTCTGGAAAGGCATTACACAACGAAGTAAGCCTAGGCAGGGCAGTGAAGGCAGAGCCAGGGCCAGAACTCAAGCCATCTCTTCCCTGACTGGGTGCAAACAGCAGTTATGAACCACAGCTTTTCTCCCAGGATCCCACTTAGGGTAACGAGTACTGAAACTGGGTCACTGGCCAAAGGGGGCCAGATGAGTGACAGCAGGACGAGGCGGATGAGGGGTGGCGGGAGGGCGATGTGTACTTGCTCAGGGGGCAAGGGGAGGCTGCTCTCCTCTCCCCAGTGCTCGGGACTTGCCAGCTCTGCCGGAGGGAGGGGACCAAAATAGTGCCGCCCTTCCAGGCTCAGGCTTCTCAGCCATGTGCCAGCCTGACCTTTCTGCAATGCTGCCTGTGCACTGGGGCAGAAAGAAAAACATCAGCCATCAGCTTTTCTTCTGAGATTAGTTTTGAGCTGAGGACCGAGGTACCCAGGAAGCTCCACCAACCATATGCTCAATGAGGGGACCAGAAGGTGCCTGTCCAGGCGGGCAAGAGCCCATCCTCCTAAAGTTATGAAGCCTCTAGAAAAAGTCACAGCTCAGGGTCTCCAAAGGCCAGGGCATCCATCAGCCTCCAGGAGGGCGTAGCAGGAGAAAAGGAAGAGGCTGCAGTGCCAGACACAGCCAGACACAGTGCCAGACACAGCCTGGGGAGCCTACAGATTCAAGTCAAGTTTACCCACAACATCCTAGAAAGCAGAGAGCAAGGAGAGACAGTGTCTTCTAATGTCTTTAGCATCAAGAAAAAAAAGACAGGGAGCGGCTACTGATGGGGCGCTGGAGAGAGAGTCCCACACAGATCCCAGCTGCCCTCTGCCCCCTTCCCTGCATGGAGAAGCAGAGGCATCTGTGAGTTCTCTGGGAGCCAGGAAACAAGGCAAGAGAGGCTGACCCCATCATCTAAAGCCTAACTCCCTCCATGTTGCCCCTGGTCTCACCTGTCTCCAAGGCCAGGAATCCCAACCAACTGGATGACGTAGATCCCTATTTGACAAAAAAATATAAAGAAGAACACGAAGAAGCTGAAGGAGTTGTCGGACCTGTGAAGAGAGAGGGAAGTAAGTCACAAGAGGACCACGGCCATGTTTCTGAGCATTCCCTACTAGATAGGACATCTCTCGCTACTAGGCACCAGGGGCAGGATGGGCAAGAGACAGTTCCAGGAGACCTGCCACACTGTCCATGAGGGGACACACACACATCCCATCCATCCCCCACCACAGTCAAGAAGGGCTTGCTTTTCATCGCCCTCCCATTTAATAAGGGGTCAGTGCCCAACCCTTCGTCAAAGAGCTGACAAAGTTGCTCCCCCAGAGGGCAATACCCAGAGCTTAACACTCCGTCTCCTGGAGTACTTATCTGTAATTTATTTATTTTTTTGAGTTGGAGTCTCACTCTGTCACCCAGACTGGAGTGCAGTGGCCGCTCCCGGCCACTGCAACCTTGACCTGCTGGGCTCC